GTAAACTGATTGCTGACTCTTTTTTTTGTGAAGTTTTGAATGCAGCTCTGAGTCATTTCTTGTTTACCTGCCTCGTACTGTTTTTTTCTCCCACTGGTTCATTTTCATCCACAAATTCTAAACGAAAAAAAGGGACAAAGAAAAATTCATAGAAACAAAAAAAAAATGTCTGACATGTTCCGCTTTTGACAGAATTTTAAATACCAATGATTGTGTCTTTAATTTTCCAGGGTGATGTTGTCACTGTTACTTCTTCTTTTCAAGATGTTCTTTCTGTTCAGATAGATCCATCTCATCTGCTCTAGCGATGCAGATTTTTTTAGTGGGATCAAAAAGCAAAAGCTTGAAGCGTGAAAATGTTGTTTTGTTTTTCTCTTCAAAGGTAATGGGAACAGAATGTTCTGGTTTACGGTATTCCAATCTTCTTGGAACAGTCTCTTCAAGTCGTCTCTCCGTCTTTCTTACAAATTCAGCAGGTCTGCTGTAATTGATCTTTGTAAACATTAAACCAGAGTGAAGAGATGTTGTGCTGTGAACCTCAGGACGTGCCCCAAAATAACTTGATTAAAGCCAGACTCTGTGGAAAGTGACTGTAGGAAAGATGATTGTTTTCTCTTTGCTCTACATTTCCATTATTTCATTCATTCATTTCCTATCACTTCAGCATTTCAGGCCACTGGGGGCGCAATTAAAAAAATTGTTGAACCACAAAAATATTTGGAACCACTTAAATAATTAAGAACTTGTTTGTGAGTCTGTGATTCTGGTTGACAAAATTAATAAATAAAGTCTGTGTGAAAGCTTTTTGGCTGACAGACCAAAGTGAGATTCAAAATTTGACTGGCTGGCCGGTTTATTATTGGATGTAAAATGTTGTGCAAAATAATTCAAATGTACAGGAATCAACCCAACCAAAGATAACGTGGCCATTTGATGTCTGGCTATATATATATCTAACTATAGTCAATTTGTTGTAATTCATGAAACACAAGCATTGATATCAGTCTTTACTGTACCTTCAGTATCAGTGTTTGGCGTGCTGGATTGTAAACCCCAGCGGGCCGTATCTGGCCCACGGGCCGTAGTTTGCCCAGGTCTGCTCTAAACAATCAAAGAATTCCATTGTTGACATTTTGCAGAAACAAATATGACTTTTTCTTCATCACCATTTGATGGTTGTCATGGATCATGGATCATGGATGTCATGGATCAACACCGCTAAACTACTAAATGGGGAAATTAATCTGCAGATTAACAGGGATTAAAATAGCAAATGTAGCCCTGATTTCACAGAGAAAAAAAAAAGAGAGAGAGAGAGAGAGGGAGAGCAGACACAGTCTCAGCAGCTGTGATATTTTTTGCTATTTTTTTACAGCCATTAAAATGATAGTAATGAACAAAACAAACGTATCGCCTTGAAACTGCTACACTGCATCCTAGCACTGGCTAACCCTGAGCTATGCAGTATTTCATTAAGATACACAGCAGGACTAGTTTGGACAGAGGTGCAGATTATCTACCAACACACTGGACGGTGTCGTTCCTGATACTACAGTACTGCAGCTGTACTGCAGTACTGCTCACATCCAAAACCGTTCCTTGCTGCATCAACAAAAGTTGTGTTTTCATGTTGACAGAAAAACCTTTTCTCTCCTATGATTAAGCTGTTCCTGCTACAAAAGCTTCTCCTGTCTGCTTTAATTAACTGCAGTGCATCGACTTCACTCTCCATTGTGCGTATTTGTTTCAAGGACTCAAGGATATTTTATCTGATGACATATTCATTCACAGTCAAAAAAAACTGAAAAAAACAAAAGCAAAAATGCATGTGAGAGCTTTAAAGGATGAACTGCCTTCACTCAGCCGTGCTCTCCAAGCCGCGAGCCCTCATTACACTGTGTGCGTCTCACCCACAATAGGAGGCTCGTGGTATGTATGGATGTGAGGCCCAGGATGATGTCGTAGGGAGATACTTGGCAGGTATATAACTGTGGCTCAAGTAATTGGACTACAGGGGACATTTTTATGGACCAAAGCCTGTGTCTGCAGGCAGACAAGTTGGTAATGAGAAGCAGCAGGGACTGGGATTCTCACACACCATGCTTTTGTCAACTGCTCTTGGTAACACAAACTGTGGTATCAAGGCAAGCCGTGGGAGGGAGCCGCTGTTACAGCTGCCCCCCCGCCCCCCCTCCGCAAATGCCCCAAACTGTGATATTACTCCTGTGCTCCGGTGCAGGGAAACTGTCAGAGTCCAATTAGGGGAAAAATATAATAGTAAAAACAAAAGTACATGGCCACACAAAGTTACTTAATAGACCACTGGGCTTCTGCAGAGTGGCTTCATTGCTAATTGGTGCAGAATCTACAAGTGTCAGGAATCCTGTTTTGGGGAAGGCATTAGCATGATTTAATGAGATTTCATCAGTTGAACAAGCTGTTCAGAGTGGTTACACTGAGACACACACCCTCACCCTCACGTGAAGCAACCACTTTCTTGATTGCTGGTTCATTCAGGGTCACAAAACATGGGAGTTATTGAGTCAGTTAGCCCACCGTGCTCCTGCACTGCCACAGAAGGTTGATCATGATTCCTGTGTGAGACCTGCAGCCCCTGCCCTGCAGCTACAGAGACCCCTCTCACAGGGCCCTGATTTCCTCCCAGGGTGAAATCAGGTTGATCTGAGGTTTTAAATTGCTCGACTTTCTGAATATAAATGACTGTTTACGTCCACGCTGTGAGTGAATGCTGCACTGACAGTGATGTTTCAAAGACTTCTTCCTCTTTGTACCCCTGTTCCTCCCCATGAATGGATGCATCAGCCAGACAGATATATATATATATATATATATATTTGCATCCATCACCATAGGTGACAGAACATTTGGGTGACACAGATTGCTGGGGAATGGGACTCACATGATTGGTTCACGCTGTGATTTTTGTTCAGCCTTCATTCATAAATAAAAGCCGTACTCTCCCCTGGTCAGCTGTGGTTATCGCTACACGGTTTACACGTTTGGTGGCACTCCATCTAATTAGCCCTGAGTGCAGTCGTGGTTCAGTTCTACTTATCTATTCATGAAATGTGGCTTACATTATCCTTATGCTAATGCAATCGTTTGGTGTCCATTTGTACAGGCTGTGTATCCACACAGGGGAGCGGCAGGAAACTCCCATCGGGTTTGTGATTCCGCCACAGGAGTAAAATCTGCACAGACACCACTCTCCCTGGGAATAAGTGGAGCTAGACCACAACAGGGGTTGGAAACAAAACATTTTCATCAGGTCTCGTGGCCGTAAAACTGTTTTTGTGTCCTTCAATTTAATCCTTGAAAGCCTCCCAACAACAACTTGTTAGCACACTCTGCTGTTGCTCATTTTTGGTTTTTATAAATTACCAGCCTTTGTGCCTTTGCAGACAGGAAAAATCAGTAGTACTTCAGTCTTTTGTCTCAGAGTACACTGTTTATCCCAGATGCATTTTAAAGTAGATCAATTTGCAGAGTGCAATTAAACATGACATGACTGTGGATGAGATGGAAGGTGGTGTCAACAACCTGGAGAAGAACACTTGTCTAGTTCAAGGACACACGTTCGTCTCAGTTTTGTGTCCCTGTGTCCGAGTCGGTGGAGTCCGGGGACACACTACACCACTCTGAAGATTTTTAAAGACTTAAAAACACATGCTAATAATCTGGTTTCAGCTGTGCATGAAACACTTGGCTCAAGTTCTTCTGGTGCCTTAGGTGAGATTAGGGTTTGGCGCCGCCTGTGGCTCCCTGTTGTAATTATGTTACAGCAACACACCCTCCAGCAGTTGGCAGCCCAGTCATCAACACAGCCCAGAGTTGGCTGAACTGATGATGATCACACGCTACATAATTTGTCAAACCAGCTGACCGCCAACCAAACGCCTGGTGTTCCCACAACGTACTGGTGCCGTTCTGTGGTTGGTCAATCACAGTCGCCGCTCTCCGTCTCCTCCTGCTGTGTGCCCACCTCGCCATCTTCTTTTTTCATTGGCTGTTGCCACCGTATGGTTGCAGTGGTGTGGATAATCAGTTCTCACTACCAGATTGTGTACCAGATTAATTTCAAAGAACCGCGACATGTTTGGTTGACGACAACCTGCTGTGTTCTATACAGCTTCTGGTGCCAACTGACCATGTTGACAACTAGTGCCCAACTGAGAATCATGGGTAAACTCTGGTAAAAATGTAACGTGTTAAACTGGTTGAACTCAACAGTTTCACAAAAACTAAATAAGCCTGAGTCTAAAGAATAAAAGATAAAAATAAACCCTGGATCGATGAAGACGTGTGCAGATGTCGACTTGGATCTTCTCACTAAAACAGAGAGCGATGTAAATGATTTCTCTGCGAACTATTGATGTGAACTGCTTCACTTAGAGGATTAAAAAACCAAATATGTTTAGAACAAAGTCACGGCCAAATGTTTTTTTAATATAGTTTGATATGTTTGTATTTCACTTTATAACGTTCTGTTCTTTTCTTTATATCTGTTTTTTACACATACTCATCTTTGGATTATATATACATTTACAAATGAGCTGTCACTGGTCGCAGCTGTAAATGAAGGATTTGTTTTGTCTGAATTATCAAGGATGCTGTGGTTTGTTTTCCGACTAAAGACCTATGTGTTGTATAAAGTGTGTTTTTTGTGAGCAGCTCTCTTTCAGGGTCAGCCTCTCTCTGTGTTTCTAACACATTGATCAGACTGTTATCATTCCGTTGCACCGGCGGATCATTGATAGTATTCACAGCACTTCACTGATTCGCTGGTTCCTGAAAACATCAATGACTTTCCTCATATCTTTCCACAATCTTCGGGAACTACAGAACTCTCTAATGGAATCAATCTTTTGTCGGTCGGAGCTGCAGTGAACTGTGCTTGGATTAATGCTGTTTTTATATCACACGCTGTTCACTCCTTTGTTGTTTACACCTGTTCTTCTGTTCTTTCTGTGTTTTTCAAGGCACCACACGTCTTCCTCGTGAAGGTGAAGTACCCGGTGTTGACTACAACTTCATCAGCATCGGTGACTTCAGGATCTTGGAGGAGAGCGGACTTCTACTGGAGAGCGGGACCTACGATGGTACTTCATCCCTCATCACGTCATTACAGCGTCGTTGTGATTGTTGTTAGGATTGCACGACTGCATGCATTCACTCACGTATATGATTGACACAGACAGCTTTCCATTATGGAGCCAAGGCTCTTTATCTGCAGTGACTTGGAGCCACCTTTTATGAAATGTGATCAGAGGTGGAAATGACAGATTGATTTTTAAAAGATGTTTAAAGAAGGCAGATAAGCACCAGTGTGTGAAATGAGCCATGGACGGAGGAGGTCTGCAGCCCGTCATTTAAACTAAATTGGCTGTTTCATTCATTTTACCAGAATCACATCCGAATCAGAATCAGAATCAGAATCACATATGTTACTGGATGTGATTCTGGTAAAATGATTTCATATTTTGACGCCTATTGCCAGAAATAAAAAATAGAACCAGGGTTCATGGTTTAATGAGGAAACGCTATTATTATCACCATGTTTTAAAAAAAACAATTAAAATAGAGATCTAGATAGATATCCTTTGTGTATTAATTAATAGATTGTTTTACAAACATGAGGCAAACCTATACATTTTTAATTTTTTGTTATGTGGGTCGTTGGGATATTTAGACAAGTCTATAAAAATAAAATAGACTTGACTTGAGGAAGGAGGATGAATCCACTACTGCATGGAAACAGATGACAATGAAACGTTTCTGCATTTCTGCAACTTAAAAACCTCTTTATAGTACATCTGATGGCTATTTAAGATGATTTTTAGTTTGTGCAAATGGTTGTCTGTTAATGTTGTGGTTGATTTTTTCTACTCCTCAGAGCTGAAACTTCCATTTATCTTTTTAGTACTTGGACAGAAATGTAGTTTAAAAAAGGAGTCCCTTATTTGTCCAAAAATGGGGAAATTCACGGTGAGTCTTTTCAAACCACACAGGCTGAGGTACGGCTAGGGATTTGTGGTTCCCTTGGGGCTTGAACCCAGGACCCTCTGCATGTACAGTAAGTCAGATTCGTATATCAAGTCTTTTAACCAATGCACTATAGGATCACAATTGTTGAGGTAACAGATAATCTGCTGCAAAACTCGACAGGAGGAGCCAAGTATGTGCTTCCGCAGGGGCTTGAACCCAGGACCTTTTGTATGTAAGGCAGGTGTGTAAGCAGGCGCCATAACTACTGCACTGTTATTTGTCATATTTCCTAAACTGTGAGATCTTCAATACCTGGTTTAACTCCTCCAGTTTAGTTCTTGCCGCAGTGTGTCTTTGGTGTCACCTTGTTCCTTCCTCCGACATTATACACTCCACATTCACTATTAATAATACTATCAGAGCCAGCAGGTGGCTGTGGCACCTGATCTTGACCTTATTTAAACCAGCAGCTGCTGATCCCAGCGGCTGGCTGCACATTCACACATCAGGAGGTTAAATTCACTCCGTCATGCTTTATTCATGGGACAAAGCAGACGGCCCCCCCACCCACTCACCCCCCCCG